CGCCCTCGCCGCTCACCTGCATTTTCTGCAGCCCCTCGAGGCTCCTCGCCAAGCCAGGGAGGCTGGTCTGCACCACGGGGTGTTTCATCTGGGGGAAGATGGAGTTGGTGACTGCCCAAAATCCAACCCTGGAAGCCGGCTCTGGCGTGGCTGGGCCACATCCTGCCCGCCGCAGCGGGGACCAGCTCCCCGCGAGCATCCCCTCACCTCCTCCTGGAAGCGCCTGTAGTCCACCTCGTCCATGCCGCTGCGGGCGAAGGTCTCCAGGTCCTGCCTGCCCTCGCTGCGGAGGAGCCGCACGTCACCCAGGCGTGCCGTGAAGTCACCCAGGCGTTTTTGGAAATCGGCTGTGTACTGTGGGGGTGAGACGCAGGGGATGCTGCGGGGTTGGGCCCAGGCACCTCCATCCCAGTAACCCCAGTAAAGCTCGTGCATCCTCGCACCATTACCAGAAGCTGTGGTTGCAGCCAGCCCTCACCTTGGGGGTTTTTAGATGCTCATCCAGGTCATAGGACCCCTCGAGCTGCAGCACCTCCCACAGCCCCGCGCCGCTCTTGCACTCCCTGGAAGGCAAAGGGACGTGGGTGGCATGACCCCAAATTAGCCCTCCGATGTATAAGGGCAGAGGTGGGCTCCTGTGGCACCCACCGATACGCTGCGCTGAGGTTGGAGTCCCTCCTGAGGTTGAGCTGGCGGGTGAGGTTCATGGATGGAGGCAGGTTCCCGGGGGTGTCAATGAACTGGGCCAAATGGGAGGAAAAAGAGGGTCAGCGTCAGGCGCAGGCATTTCCAGCAACGATTTTGGGGGTGCTCTGCCCTTGCAGGTGCGTCCTGGGGTACCCCATCCCAGCCAGAGCTAATCTTGCCTTTATTTGTATGATCCCCATTGCAGAGCCTCGCCGGGCAGCGTTTGGAGGGAAAGCAGCAGACAGCCCCATGCAGGGACCTGCCTGCGTGTGCACGGCCACGGGACGAGCCCTGATCCCATTCCCAACCCTGCTCCCAGCCCCGTCGCAGCGTGTTGCCGGCCCCGAGCACCCCAGGGATCCCCAAACAACCGGAGGACAGGGGTCCTGCAAGTAGGATCATCATTGCCTTGAGCAAATTAACAGCACAAGGGCAATTCCCCGCTGCTGATGCGAATCCAAGGACCTAATCCTAAACTTTATCTTCTGGTTTAGCATGGGGCTTTTCTGGACGCGTGTAGGGGGAGCACGCAGAGCATTTAGGGGCATTTTGGTGCACGCAAGCAGAGATTTACGGGGCAATGGGTGGATGCATGGCTACCCACCTTATAAATCTCCTGGTTCACCCAATTCCTGCAAACCAGTGTCTGGACGTTGCCCCCAACCAGGAAGGTGGCGAAAACCAGGAGGATGAGGAGCCAGGAGAACAGGAAAGCCAGGCCCACGCCGCTGAAAGAGGGAGAGGAGGCACCGGCGACAGCTTTGCAGACCCGAGCGGGCAGAAAGGCTTGTGGGGACCTGCCGGGCCGGCTGCAGCCCTGCAGCTCCCTCCCGTGCCCGGGCATGCCGGCCTGTCTGGGAAGAGCCCGCGGGAGAGGGGTGTGCCGGGCAGTGGGGCCGGGGCGCAGGAGCTGCCAGCTCCCAAGGAGGAGCGGCTTCTCCCCACACCCCCG